AATCAAAAGGCTTGCTTAGATCAGAAGTCTGTATGGCAGGAGTCATATGTTGATATGTCGAGTCATCCATCCGATCTCCTACCATTGTGGCAGTCCATTCGCCTTGCCCCTGGGTACGGGCGTTCGTGGGAAAGATGGATTTTGCAATTCGATGTCATAAGTATGGTCCACCCCAATTCCATAATCTTGGAGGACCTGGATAACATGCTCCAAATAACTAAATATGACTCCGACTTATACTGTCGTCAAGAGCATCGATTTCGTGTAGCATCCAATAAACATGCCGTAAAGCTTGACCAGACACATAAATCAGGAGCCAAGTTCTATAGAACTCTTAAGGCCGAAGATCATAAGATCTTGCCTGGATTTCCTGTCACACATGAATGCTTGGCCACTCTACGTCGGAGTCCTAAAGGAGAGGTTCATATCCAAATTCACTACCCGGTCAAGTTTCAACTATATGCAAAACTATCCTTTGGCGCAGCGGACTTAATCTTGTTGGAACAGAATGCATGCCATCTTCGAGCATCTCTAGTGTCTGGAGTCTGTCCGACCCAAGCCCTGCTTCGTCAGGATACTTTCGTCTATCGGGCATCCGATATGACAGGACCCTTCCGAGAATATTGGAGTCAATACTGGAATAGGGATACAGAAGAAGAAGAACATAGTGACGTAACATGGCAAGATACAATCGATCGCTTAACTCAAAGAATCCCTGCGGCCGAACCTCTCCCAATAACCTGGCATCGACCTGATGTTGTCCAGCAAACTATTTCCAGGCTCCGACCATATAAGGCACCAGGCATTGATGGTTGGCGTGCTGAGGAGCTTCGACTTTTACCACCAAGTGCAGTTGCATCATTGGCCCACATCTTTTCCCAGATCTGGCATCAGGGTTTGCATAAAGACCATATGATAGCTCGTGTTGTTTTATTGGCAAAAACGAAATCCACCAGAGGCAATAGGCGATGGGCGTCCCATAACGATTTTAGGCTACATATCTCGACTGACGTCCAAGATCATCGCAGATCAGTTGCTCAGATATTGGGGTCAACTTTGGCCAGTAGCCATTGCAGGTGGTTTACCGCATAGAGGAGTCAAAGATATCTCTTTCATGCAACAGTTTCAACTAGAAACTTGTAAGAAAAGTAATCAGGCCTGGATGGGTTTCACACTTGACTTGGTCAAAGCATTTAATTTGTTACCTCGCCGTGTCATCTACCATTTGCTGGTTTATCATGGAGCTCCTCCTGATGCTATCCACTTTTGGTTTCTGAATCTGACAAAGATGACGCGCCGTCTTCAAGTTCGTTTAGCTATTGGTGAACCATTAACCATGACGACTGGAGTCCCTGAAGGGGATAGCATGTCTGTTTGTAGCATGCTTGTTTTGTCGTCTGCCTTTTATTGGCTCATTCAGAGTCCAACACTTGATCCATTCTGTTATGCTGATAATTGGTCATATCTGACTTGTTCTCAAAGAGAAAATTACCAGGCATTCGACTGTATTCGTCAGTTGGCAACTGAGCTCCGATTACAAATCGATTACCAAAAATCATGGGCTTGGGGGACAACCAAGGTAGCCAGGGATCAATGGCAAGTAACTTTGAATGAAACAATGGGAGATCATCACGATGTTCGGATACTCAATTCAGCAAAAGATCTCGGGTGTATGTGTCACTACACCAAGCAGGTTGTTTTGGGTCATCTTAAAGAAAAATTTTTAAGCGCCGCGACCAGGTGTAAACGTCTTACATACATTGCTACAGACCTAACCCAAAAGGCGGACCGCATTCAAAATGCCATATGGCCACACGCATTCTTCGGAGCAGAGTCCCAACTTGTTGGAGAAGCCCATTTTAAAGAGCTACGCCGTGCGGCAACGACGGCTTTGGTAGGTCCGGAACAGCAGGCATCTTCTTGGATGGCCATGCACTTCCTGTCAACCCGTCTGCAAGACCCCCTCCTCTATGTCCTGTGTACTGCCCTTTCGTTTCTTCGACGATTGTTCATGCATCACCCAGATAAAGCCCAATCATTTCTGCTGGCAGTTTGCAGTCATGTTGGCCACCCCCACGGGCCGGCCGGGGCATTAGCCTGCTATCTCCAACGCGTTCACTGGAAGCTAACCCCAGATGGTCTCTTGTCATGTCCGGGTAATATCCAAATCTCGATTAAGCTAGATACTCCACGCGATATCCGAAAATGGTTACGTCGAGCGTGGACTGAAGTAGTCTTTCGGCAAACTCAGCACCGAAAAGGGGTCACCAACCTGCCTTTTGACGCTAGCCTGTTCCAACGAGTTTTGGGTCGACCTACCTCAACGGAAATTAAAATTCTCGCCAAAGACATCACTGGAGGCTATCAGGTTGGGGCGGTTAAGGCACAGTGGTCTAGTGCAACTGACGGCAAATGCCCCTACTGCGGCCAACTGGATACCCATGCTCACCGACAACTAGAATGCCCTGATTTCGATTCCATCAGGGCGTTGCGCCCAGCTGCCGTACAGATCCTTAAGGCCAATCCATATATGTTGCATTTTCCACTTCCACTTCAACATGAATCTGTTCATCATCTTAGGTTCCTACTTTCCCAACGTGGCCAGACAGCTTGCCCCACCACCATCCAGACCGCTGCCGAATGCATTTTCCTTTATACAGATGGGTCGGCTGACAACCCCTACTTTAACCGAATTCCAGCGAGCAGCATGGTCCGTTGTCCAATATGACCCCGCCAGTGATTTGATTCCTTATCGTACCGTTTTGGTTCAGCATGTTCAGGGACGCCAGACAATTTCTCGGGCTGAATTAGCAGCCAGTGCATGGATAATTCAAGAATGTCATCAGGCTGCAGTAACCCATCAAGTTGTAATTACAACGGATTCCCAGTATGCCATTAATACCATCCGCAACATAACGCAAGCCTCGAGTCCCCTTGTTCCACATACAACTGCACACGCCGACTTGCTCCAGAATATTCAGACTCACTGGGTCCATGGCCAATTTGTCTTGCGCAAAGTCAAATCGCATCAGGTGGTATCTCAAGCCACAACCCGACAGGCAGAAATTGACATTGTAGGTAATGATTTTGCCGACACGGCTGCCGTCCAGGCCCGAAAAACAGATCATCCCGATAATCACCAACTTTTTGCCCAAATTGAGGCATGGAATCAGTCACAAATTTACCAGACAGGGAAGGTGCTGCGATACCTTCTTGATCTTAATTTAGCCCATGTCCAACGTAAAGAGCAGGCAAAATCCAGGGATGCAAAAAATCAAGATGATGACCCTGATCAGAATTGGGGTACAATTCATCTCGCCCGTGCTCATCATCATGTGGTGAATCCTGTAGTCATTTCTCAACCTGATATACATCCACACGTATTCACTGCATGCCTATGGGGGGCTGACTATGCAAAACTGGTCCTAAAGTTCTTCCTGTCCCTGCGATGGCCAGACCCAGATAGTGATCATAACGCGATCACGCGATCCGACATCACATGGCATGAACTTGCCATTGCGTTTATTCTCCAGACTGGACTTCAGTTCCCGTGTTGGATTAAACCACCCAATAGATCCAGAGCTCGACCTCATCACTTTCAGGCACCTGAAGTTTTGGCACTCCCGGCCAAACTGCGATCGCTTCGTGAACAGGCGGATGCACTTCGCATCATCATTCAGTATCTTCAGGGCTTTTGCCATACACCGCTGTATCCGAAGTTTCATAAGACAGCTGCCAGTAGTCTGGTCCAGGTTGGTTGGGGTCGAACTTATACTGGAGGTTTCCCTTTGCGTCCACAATTCAGTAATTCAGATGCAACACAAAAAACATTACAGCAGTATGCAAAGGACTTAGGAATCAAACCGCCATATCACCCATTGGGTCTTGTTCCTATGCAGTTATGCCATGTCACTTTGGTAGCTGATACCGTGGTTAATCTAGATTACTCCCAGTGCTACCACTTTCGTAAGAAGCTAAGGGAGGTATGGAACAAAGGCGGCAATCTTGATTCCTTGTCCCCGCCGGTGACGCATAATTAAATACGTAATTCAGGGGTCATCGTCTCGACATTGCATCCACTTGGGGTTGCGCGGATATTCGGTCTCACTTAGCTAGAGATGTTTTGCGTACGATGTTGTGCAGTTTTTGGTAGGTATGGGTACCAATCCCATACACATTCTGAATTTCACCAACTCCCCGGTACCCATCAATACGATGAAGGGCTGTGGGAAGCGATCTGGATTGATGCGCAAGTTTCGTCGGTAGATCAACCAAGGTATCCTTGTGGTCCACGGCCATGTGATAGATTCCGTATTTTATGCCAGACGATTTTTTTCAAGGGGACATGTACCCACACCATATATTCTAACACCCCGAGAAAAACAATGGTTGCTTGGTAAAGACTCATTCATGTAGTTGGACTCTCAGGGCGTAAGATGTTATTTTTGGAGGGTCACACTATTTACAAAGCTAAAGAATCATCCAGAACTTTTGCCACCTGCTGACCTACTTTAGACCCCTGCAATTACCCTTGAAATTTAAAGACTATATTTTTCCTTAGTGGAGCAGAGAAAATTCCGGAAATGAGGTCCCCTAAGAGTCAGACACACGGCCATCCTGCTTGCCACACCGACAGGTGCTCCGGATGGGTTTTGGTGGACTGGTTTTACGAATCGGATCATTTCTGCTTTCCCTACCCCAGAGGCGACCCCTTCAGCTTCCCAACTGCTACGTGTTGCAACCCGGTCCTCAAACCACCCCAGTTGTGAGGGTCAAAACCCGGTCCGAGCCTTTCTGAGCCTCGAACTGAGCCCTTCCGAGCCTTTGGGATGAGTGAATCACCCTAGGATTCAAACAACCATTGCTTTAATTGTTTTACTAAGGCACTAAGGATTTGTTGAAGGCTAGGGATGATCTTGAATCACCAAAACGTTGGGAAGACTTTCTCTTTGCGCCCGCTCCGCGTCTCTGTCGTCCCTGTCGTCCCTGTCCCTCGCCAGGCGCCCCGCTCGGCGCGCACGCCACGACTCCCGGACGCGAAGGTGAAGGCGGAGGGAGGTGGCACATCCTCAGCGCCTGGGCGAGAGATGGAGGGGTCCGGTGCGAGGAGTGTCCGAGAGAGTCCAGGTTCTGACGACGACGGGTCAATAGAAACAGGACGGTCTGACCAGGTGATCCGAATGTTCATGTCCTGAATGTCTTTCACCAGCAGAGGTGGGTTGAAGAACCCGACTGTTCGACTATCCTAGTTGGGTACTGCTGGTGACGGGTCCTAGTTCAGGTCACTGGCTACCATTGTAGGCAGTGCAAAAGATCATCTTCGCTGGACATCTTTCCGAGAGTTCGGGAGGGGACATGATCGGGAGATCTCGGCCAGCATCCGTGCGGACGGACCACTTGGAGGTTCGGAAGAGTGGGGACAAATTACAACCATAAATCGATCATAGGAGAACATATTTATATATTTATATATTATTTATATGTGTGTTTTTTTTTTCTGGAGTTTCAAGTCCATTTGCCTCCACTTCAGCGATGGAGGGGCTTTGGTCCATTTCGGAGAGCGTCACGTAGTCAAAACTCCTCCTTTGGGGAACGTCGCGTAGGCGTAGAAGATCTTTCTCTTTTCGCATGGTCAAAAAGGGGGCAGTAATTGCAGTTGCTTCCACAGACCCAGCCCTTTTGGACCTTTTGATTCGATTTGCTGACCTTCCAAGGGAGCGGCCACTGCTCGAGCACCCGCCACTGCTCGAGCTGCGCCCAACAGCGTGACGTTGACCGCTGCCACGATCCAGGCCACGGGGGACGGACGGACGGACGGGGGGGCGCGCACGACTTGCTACCTCGGCAGCTGGGTTTTGGATGGTTTTGGTGGGTTGCATGGTTTTGTTGAGTGTTTGTTGCTGAGTTTCGATGGAGAGAGGCGAATGGTTGTTTAATACACAATGGTGGCTTGAAGAAGTTTGAAGATGTTGCATGATGTATGGAACATGTTTAGGGCATATCCATGCGTATCCCGATAAAAATCTCCATCTCCACGACCGGTCCAAGCTGGAAAGTGTGTTCGTTCAACAAATCGTTGAACTCCTCCAAGGACTCCCTCTCAATCTGGGTGTCGCCGAATCGCTCCAAAAACCCCCCCATCCACCATCCCCAGAGCTCGCGGAGCTCGAGAGAGCTCGAGAGAGCTCGCTGTGTGAGGCCTTGCGCTCATTGGATGCACCATACTTGAGCTCCTATGGTCTCTCGGCCTTTCCGGAGGGTGTTTTTGCCGCGACGGGCGGCGACGGGCGACTCGAAAAAGGGCACCGGGTGAGACTGAGGCCATGGTGAAACGGATGACACCCGGTGTGAGATGACACAGTGTGCGAGCCACAGGGAGTTGTTTCCGCGCCGGTGTTGCTAAGTTATCTCGCAGTATTTCATATGTATATATACCTTGGAAATCATAAGCTGTTGAAACTTCCGACAGGACCGCGGTAGCAGCGCCAATCCGAGTAGCAGAAGTCGGTCGACCGAGGTCGTGTAAAAAAAGGGGCAACCAACCCGTCCGTCGAAAAAAACAGAGGCCACGGAGGTGGTTTGAAGTCCCTTGTTGTCGGTTTTCGGCGGAGCCGTTTGGCTGGGGAGCTGAACCACGGTGCCTTTGGAATCGAAAACTGCAGCTTCTCCCGAAGCCGCAGCGACCGGCTGACCCGCCTGAGGCAAGTCCGAGCAGCGCCTGCTGAGCGCGCACACCACCGCCACGACCTTCCTCAGCAAGGATGACTCCAGGACCACCTTAAAGGAAGATTCAAGTGTGCCCTGGCGGGAAGTAGTCGGAAAGTGTTTGGGCCAACAAAGACATAGAAATCATAGAATCCATGCCCCCCCAATTTCAGGGAAATTGGAATTGGCAAGAGAATGGGACATTTGAATTCATGTTATTCAATTAAAATGTCAATCCAAAAGGACACCTGAAATGTTTTGCTGCCTCCCGACCTCCAAACCGGCCCCAAAGACCCTCCGGCCTGGCATGTCTTCAGGTGGGCTTCTCGCCTTACGCATCCCAGACAGAGCTGCACCAAGCGTCCACCATGTGTCTTGGGCTATCTCGCGTTATCTCGCGAAACGCCGAACGAACTTTGGGGAAGACCTACATAGATTCACCTAGTCAGACCAAAAACAAAGGCCATGAGATCAAATGAAATCGTCGACTGGACTTTGAGGGTTCGGTTTTTGGGACGTTCCACCGTTCCAATTCTTCCTTGATCAGTGCTTTGTGAACGGCCGGATGAACTCTTGGAGGAGCAGTTTTTGGGCACTTGAGGGGAAGGTGTGAAGACTTGAACCATCGTTGCTCGAACCGTCGTTCGCCGCCGAAAGATCTTGTTTTATCAACCGTTGTTTCTAAGTTTTGGTTGGCCCCCCCCACCACTGGCAATCGCTGTCCGAGTTCCGGACAAATCCGAACCTTGGGGTTCATCCGAGCCCTTCAAAAGGATCCGAGCGCTTCCCAATGAGACTATGGTCTAGACCCAGTTTTAGGCCCAGTGTGCCAAAACGGAGCAAGCGCAGCATCTTCGGGCACACCTCCACCCCAAGAAAAGGCGGCTCCATCAAAAACAGCTGTACCACTTCCAAGCAGCTGCAGCTCAAATACGTGGCACATCGACATAGAACCACCACGCTGAACACGACCTCATGGTCAAAACCAAACCCCAGACCATCCATGGGACTGGCATATTTACCTACATTGACCCCTGAAACCACCCCAACTGATCGGCCAATATGCCAGTCCCATGGATGGTCAAAACCAAACTGGCTGGATCCTAAGAATCCGAGACCTGCACCGCCGTCGCGCGCGCCGCAAGAAGACCCGCTTCGGACGTCGGACCGCTGGCCGAAGCAGGTCCTACCAGAGCTCGGTGGCGAAGCTGTCGAGCTACTCCGCCGAGTCCGAGAAGCATCACTCCACGGAGGACTCGCAGCTACTCATGCCTCGGCGTTCGGCGTTTCGCACGATGTTCGCCACGGTTCGGTCTCTTTCGGTTCGGTCTCTCCAAGCTCGTGTTGGTGGGGCGAAGAGTTACACTCCTTGAAATCATCGAAGAGTTCCGATTTGGTCATCGGAAATCGGGCCAAATCGGCGTTTCCCATGGTGCCATCCATGGTTCCCATCAAACCGTGCCCGGTCACGTGTTATCGGAGCCTCGAAAACACGGTCCTCATGGGATCTCATGGGATCTCGTGTGGCAGCGCGGTGGTGCACCGTTTCCGCCAAAAACGGGTGGTCTTCACTCCACCCAACGGGTGGTTTTGCAGATCAGGCAGGTGATTGTTCAATTTGTCCTGTAATATGGGTAAATCCCCTGGCAAGGTTTTTTTTAAGGTTCCTGGACGACTTCAAAGACAGAATGAGATGGGTTCAGCAAACACAAAGACAGACCTAAGCAGGTGGGGCAAGATTAAATGTCCTGTTTTCAAGTGAGACTTGGTTGAGAGAGAGTTTGATGGGTGTTGGGTGAGAAGATCAAGCGGGTTGCTATTGCAATGAGTGAAATGGATGGTCATCCAGCAAGTGCTCCTGTTGACATCTTTAAGGATCAACCCTTCTGTCTTCTTTAGTTTCAATATGGGTACTTGTTGGTGTATACAGACCGGTGCTATATTATGTGCGCTAGGCCCTGGAAATCCAAAGAGAATACGTGTCCTTAGGTGAAGCAATGGCAAGTTCCCCGAAATCAGGTCCGCCCGTCAGATCAGACCATTCTTTTTTCAGAGTCCTTCGACTCCCTAAATCTCTAGTATAGCAGTTCACTGCACATCACTGCACCACTCATTCCGCTGCAGAACTCGGTTCGTTTTGCCCCACACCCGCCGCACCCGAGGAGCCTCACCCGCAGCATCGGCATGCGCAGCAGCATGCGCAGCATCCGCATCCGCATGTGCCGGCGCAGCCCCACGGGCCGCATGCGGTGCTACCAACCGTGGAGCGAATCGCTTATGGAGTCGAAACAGCCCTGCTGAACCCCAAAGGCTGGGTGGTGCGAATGGATGCGAATGGGATGGTGCGAATGGATGCGTCGCTGGAGCGCAGAACTCACAGGATGTTTCATGCTCCAGGTCTGGCCACGGGAGCTTGGCTCCTCGATGGTGAAGGCTTTTTGGTGAGAATGAATCGACATCTTTCAACTGTTGATGGAAGTCTTCGAGAACTGTAGACCCGTGTAGACCACCCCATTTCAACCTGGCACACCAGTGCAAACCAGCGGAAACCAAACCCTGCGTGGTTCTCGATGTTTTTCAGCGGTTGTCGCTGTCCAAAAGCCTGGACTAGCGAATCCACATCTCAAGCTGCATGATGTGCCACACTATGTAAGGGGTGTCCAATGGAGATCCACAAGTAGTGTAGCCGCAGTAGAGGGAGTTGCTCCATCGTAGGCGCCGAAAGACCATGGTTTGCATCGTGGGCAGCACTCCTCGGGATGGTCCGGGCTGGTATGCTCCCGGCACCACAGAAACCGTGCCCCTGTGTTCTGGTTATATTGGGATCCGTTTCCATCCGTTTCCCATAGGTCACCCACGTAAAACCACCAACTGGGACGATGTTCAACTAATGGTGAAGCCACAGAAAGCTTCGAAGGAGCAACGCATCCTCCTCATGATCCGCAAGGGTTGGTTGCGATCCATTGCATAGCATCTCAACAAAAGACTCCGCAAAAAATGAACACAAACACTGAAGAGGACATGCAAGACCCCCCAACCTCATGTTCCTCCACCAAGCATAGGTCCATAGTGGTCCCATATACAACAAGGTGGACCCCCTCAATGGTCTTCCTGCTTGGACTTCGCCCCCCCCAAACTCCCAAAACACGACCAACGCCGGGCATCTTGGACCACCCCCCACGCACGCGAAGTGTGCGCGGACCTTCGGGGGGTCCACACGACTCGTCTTCGGGGTCGGCGTGATGTCAGACTCTGTGCCCCTTCAGGGAAGCTGATTGGAAGCCCTGGTTGTTGGACTTCCGGGCTCAGCAAAGAGGTGAAGGGGCGAGGGAGGGCTTCGGCCCGGTGAAGGGACGAGGGAGAAGTTCGGGGGCGCTAGCTTGCTTGTTGGACGGTGCCAGAATTGTGAAGAACTGGAAAAAACGATTGAAAACAGGATGCCTGGACCTTCCAAAGGGGTGTCCAATGGAGATCTCTCAGTAGTGTGTGGGCTTCCACTGGTGACCCTTGGAAGGTGCTGGTGGAGACAGACTTCCTGGCCCATTAATAGGCTGAATCCCGAACCAACTAAAAACTTTACACTACAAAACCAGGTCAACTATGTGTTTTAATGGTCTTGGAAGTCTAGGTTTTAATTTGGCGACCTGCATCTCGGACCATCATGGTCCTTGTTTTGGAATAGAGGGTCGGTGCTTTCGGTGCTGACCCAACTTGGTTTATACAGGACCGGGGGTACTCCTCTATTAACCAGCAAACCAAGGTTTACAACTGTTCAAAGGCCATCTATGTCTCTCATGTGTCGTGCGATGACCCGCCCAGACATTCTGAGGGTATGGCATGGCCTGACGGAATAAATTCCCATACACTCTGACTCACTAACATGGAAGTGGAAAACCCCGTGTTGGTAGAGGAAAGTAGTCTTCCAAGTGACCATGCCATCCACTTCCATGTTAGTGAGTCATTCGGGTAACGCATGATCACTCATGATCTTTTGAATCATCCGATCTCTATCCTTCTCGATGCTTGCCAACGACTCGGGAGAGAGAGAGAGAGACAGAGACCGGACACCCGAGCGTCTCTCGCGTGAGACGACCCGCGTCTCGACTCCGCGCTCGGGTTCGGCTTCGGTTCGGCAGCGTGACCGAGCGACGCCAGGTGGGCGAGGTCTATGTCACGACTCCTGGGCCGGTGCTGGAGATCCGGAAGAGCCGGATGAAGGTGACCGGGACCGGCAGGGTCGGGGACGTGGAGGGCACCAGCACCGCCGGTTGGCAACGTGGAGGTTCGAGCACTGTGGCCCTGAAGACTTCATGTCACCAAGTCCAGTCAAAAAGGAGGTCCAACTGATCATAACTGTAGGGATCGGGGGTGGATTGACCCAACAGTGTCCGATGCGATGTTGGTTGAGGAAAGCGCCGCGAAAGGGGCGATGTCCGACTCTGCGGAAGGCGGCCTAAAGGGGTCCGGCCGATCCGATGCTTCGCAGAAGGCGGCAGGTCATTGTTTTTGGAGCAGTTGAATCCCGTTGGCCTTCCGTTGGACCATGAAAAGGCTTCGAGAGGACCTGCTTGAATTCAGTGTGAACTCCTCCGTCAAGCACGGTAAAAACAAGGGTTCTTAGGGATTCGAATCGACCCGTTCAAGGAATTGCTGATTGGAAGCCCCCCCGGAGCCTTTTTGGGGAAGGAAGCGATGTGCGGCTCGGAAGAAACACGGTGCGTCACCGTCCGTGAATCGCTGCATCGATCGCTTCGATTGGTCATGGTCACATTACAGTGGTTTCAGAGGTTCGATGGCACAGACCCCTAGGATGTCCTGAACAGATGGGGGTCCAGTCCTAAACCACCGACAGGGTCTGTGCCATCGGTCCTCTCAATCCACTATTTAAAAGATCGTTGCATCTATACTGGATCTGTAAGATCATGTGGGATGTGTCCCATACCAGGTAACAATCGGTAAAAGAATATCACTATTTTGGGGAAAGGCCTTCACGAGCCATCACTGGTGATGGGATATGATACCCACAGAGCATGTGTCATAGCATGTGTGCATTGCTTTATCCTTACGTGTTTGGGATGAGTATATCGTCTACTTTAATTGGATTATTCAAGTGGTTGTCAACTAGCCGTCAATGGTCAGTTTTTTTTTGTTCTGGTGGACAATGGTTTTGATGTACGTTCCACAGCTGCGCTCTAGACTCTAGACACTATAATGGCCACTACAATGGTCCCCAAATAGATTTCGTCACCCACTTCCAATGGCTTCACAGAGGGTATGGAATCCTGATCTGGGATTGATGAGGGTGGATCACGATCCGTCTTCTGTTCGTCGCGTGACGAACAGCAACTCCGGCCAGGGCCATAAGCTGGTGGCGTCCAACTTCGTGAAGCCCAAACGACGACTGGTCGAGGTGGACGGACCGATTTCCCGACGGATCCACGCCTTTTTTCGGGATGCTCCGGTGCTGTGGGCTGTCCGGGTCGATCTGCTCGAGAATGGACCGGCAAACAGAAATGTGGCCTCAAGGGAAAGCATCCAGGCTAGGTACAGACTGATTGGAACAATTGCAGCGGACAGGACAGCTTCATTTCAGCTTGGGACGGGAGTGTGGAAAGAGGTGTTTTGGGCGTGGAAATCGGTGAATTCAAAGACCTTTCCAGCAGGCGGACAGTTTGCCTCTTGACGCTCGCAGACATTTCAAGCTCACTGATGATGTTAGACGTGCATCACCCAGGAAGCCAAGAGGATCCGGAATAGATATCACATGATATATACAACTGTCCCGGTATCGATGTTCTCATCCAAGTTCAAGTCAAAAGGTCAAGTCCCAGTATTGACTTCGGACACGGGAGTCGGAATCAATCCGCTTGCGCCGGGGAGTAAAAGCTATGTAAAAAGTAGTCTCTTACAGGTGCGAATGATGGGTCAGTGACATTTGGCAGCCCCTATAGTAGCGTCCGACCGCTCCTAGTAGTAAGGCCAGGAGCTTCCGACCGCTCCTAGCAGAACCATTCTTGGACAGATCCTGCCGGCAGAGTGGACCACTGAACCGGACTGCAGCAAAGCCGACAACGGACTCATGGTGGGTGTTGCGATGTTGTGATTCCATCGTATCATCGCCCTGACCCCACCACATCAATGAAAAAAAAGGGGGATCTGATCATGATGTGTTTTTCTGTAGAATTATTCTAGCCTTTTTTTTGTTTGGTTTGGATTCTGATGACCGTCCCCACGGATGAAGCCACGACCCACTGTTCGCGTCGCCCCCTTGCCAGGTCTCTGCGATGCCGGGCAGCGCGCAAGGCGAATGCAAAGTATCAAAAGGGGGCCAGGAATACGAAAATGGGGATGACTCACGAACAATTCTCGTTTGTTTTTTGTATTGATTAGATCGTCTTTTAATGTCTTTGTCAGTCTTTGTTTTTGATGTGTTTTCTACAAACTGCCTGGAAGAATCATGCGTTCTCATGGACGAATATGGGGATGTGATGGGAAAGACGGCCGGCTCGGCCTTGTTGGATGACCATATTCCTGTTCCGAAAAGACCAAGCAGGTGGTCTTCACGACGCCACACATTGTAGATTGTTGTTAGGGAGTGTAGTGATCCTCAAAAACTCACCTGGACCCGGGTGCAATGGCCTCCTGGAAGATGGTATTCCTCTACCAAACCCCAGTGGCTTTCAGGTGGGTCATGGTGGGTCCCTTCCACGTTGTCGTGCTTCTTCGAAGCCCACCAGAACCACCACCAGCCCGCCAGGTGGCCTTCGCCGAGTGCCACTCCACAGCTCACTCAGAGGCCGTGCCGGAATGCCGGTGTGTTGTCAATCAATGTCAAGATGACAAGACGAAGCACCCGAATAGGTTTGGTCATGTTTGGTCACCCCTTCCAATCAATTCTCAGAGGGTTTGTATACACTCCTGAAACACTCTCTGAAAGAATCATGGTCGAGTGGAGTGAACACCGCCTGTTTGGTCTTCAGAAAATGGTGATCCTTGGAGGGCCATCCACCTCCATGCAACCCTGCCAGGGAGTGTCACTATGCAGCAACCCTGCCAGTTTGTGGGGTTGTACCAACAGAGGTTGAAGGACCTTATAGGACCCTACTGGGGGACCCATAGGATAGAAGAACTAGGGTTCTGACCCACCTCTGTTGGTAGATGGTTGTTCTTACAGTTCTCCCATGTGTTCTTACTATTTCAATGCAGCTCTCGGTTCCTCGTCGCTGTCGCATCCCCAAACGACTCATTCCGGCACGTCGCCCCGTCACGCCGTCCCGGACGTCCGTGGCGACGGGCGGCTGGTCCCGAAAGGAAGACGACTTTGCTTTACACACGTCACAGCAAGGGGGGGGAACAAGACTCCACCTGACAACACCACTGACTCACTTCCATGTGCTTGTGTTCTTCCTTTTTGTAGAAAAGCGACATACAGCGTTTTTGTAAAACATTCAACACTCCTTTGCACTCTCCTACACGGGTGTACAGAACTCGACCATATCCTCCACCTACAGAACTTGGGCCGTAGCCTCGCAGACGATCACCTCCAGAGCTTGCGCGTCCCGCTGCGATCGCCACCGCCCCCCACAGCCGCAGCTGCGCCAGGATCGCAGCTGCACCACTAAGAGCAGCAGGATCACGATCCTGCCGTCGCCTTCGTCACCGAGGGGGGCGAAGCTGAGGCTCCGTTGGGCTGGGGGGGGGTCGTTTGCGGGTGACTTGTTCTTTCAAATACACGTGCTTTGGAAGGGTGGGTGCAACCCTGGAGATGAGCTGATTGGAAAGGCAGGCGCAGTACTTTGTGGATGAAGTGTAGATTTTGTGGCAGGTGCAGCTTTTGTAGACCGATTTCGTAGGGGGGCGCAGCTCTCTAAACCTGGACCTAGAGCTTCAATTCTAAACCTATAGTTTGTAAACCATCATCATCATCATCATCATCATCATCATCATCATCATCATCATCATCATCATCTTTTCTTTCATACGCTCATCGGTCGATGACTGCGTGGACCGTTTGGTCCCACCTGGGCCCCGGGGGGCCTTCCTCAACTTTCAGTTGAAGTTCTTGTCGAGGAGTCTCGCCAAAGTGGAGGCCTTTGCCTCCATTTGTTGATGGGATCGCAATGCCCTGTGCAGCATTGCGAATTGTCTCAGGCAGGGACAGCAGTGGTCCTCATTCATGCCAATGCTGTGAAACGGTTGGCAAGCACACCATCTGGTGGGGTGAGCTTTTGAGAGGAAGCTCACTGCACATTGTTCTGCCAAGGAGCTGCTGTCTTCCCACAAAGAGCGATGCGCCACCTGCATGTGTGAGTTCAGATCACGAGGCCAACTGCCGCATGTGATGCACTTTTTCACCAGCCGGTGGCATAGTCGAGGATGGTCCACCAGCAGATCCGTATCCATCAGGTCCAGCCCATGCAGCCATTTGCTGTGCCATTCGTCATTGATGGACGGGTCATGGATGATGTTCTGGATCTTCTCCTGGTCCGTCAGGATGGGCGATTCGTCAGTTAGGGCTGAGACCTCCTCTGCACCTCCATGTGGTGTGCAGTTCAACCAAAGTAGGCAGCAGTTCTCCTGGGCCACCAGTGGGAGCATAGAGAACTTCACCGGCATGTTGTCGTCGTCGTAGACCCACCATGAGTCGCCGTCCTTAATGGCCGTGTTGTAGTGTCCCGATGAGGCCTCTGATCCCAAGTGATAAGAGACGCCAAGGACCAGGAACGGGATGTGGTCGACCTCCAGCTTGTTGTTCAGGAAGTATGGCAGCCACACCTTAGAATCCCATGTCAGTCGAGTGTGACTCTTCCGCCCCGTGGAGTCAAAGCGGTCAATGTGCAAGCATGTGACATCTGCTGGTTCAGTGAGGGCGTGTAACCCGAAGGATGCAAGGCTCCAATTGGAAACAAGACCTTGTAGATCGATTGGCAGGGTGCTTTTTTGCTCGCTGCAGATGTAAAGTCGTAGTGGGCACCCTTGGGCATTGTGGTCCACCACCTTCAATTGACCTTCGTCCTCCAGCCTGCTTTCCCAACAACAGCTGAGAAAAAGAGGATTGGTTTGTTGTAGAAGATGGTGGGCAAAGTCAACCACATCATGTTGCCGAAAAGGATTGGGCCAGTTGGCCAAGAGGGTGGTCCACTGCCCATCCGCCCATAAAAGCATGGACTGCCCTTTGGACACATCTGCAAGGTCCCCTAATGCCCCAGGGAAGTTGGACCATTGGTCCTCCTTCAAACCATTGGCCTTGAGTGCACTCCAGGCTAAACCAGTGGCCGCTGAGTTCATGTAGCAGGCGGCAGCAGGATTCTGAAGCGTCCTCAATGGAGGTGACGTTGATGCCATCACAGGTGTTCCAGCATCTTGCCTACTTGTTGGGCAAGAGGTGTGCGATGAGAACTGGCCGGGCGCATCCGTCCAAGCACTAGTTGCCAGAGTCCTGAGTGACTGAGTTGGTGCCAGAGTCCCCTCATCTCGTTGGCATGGGTGTGAACCAGGGCCAGTGTGATCCTCCAGGGAATGATGGCGGACGGTGCCTCCGTGTCCGTGGTCATGGCCTTCTGGATCTGCTGTTGGGGACGTAGGGCTCCGAATCTTTTGATCAGGGCTTCTTGCTGAAGCAGGGTGAGCATCCTGGTCACTGTCTGTGTGGCTTGGTCCATGGTCAGGGGCGTGTCCTCCTGAGCCTCCATCTGCTGCTTCTGGGAATTCCACCTCATACGTGGAAATATGAATGATTCTCCCTTCTCGGGCTCGGGCTGCAAGAAGTTCAGGCGCAGCAATGTCTGGATCAAGGGATCGGAGGAGGCCGTGGATTGAAGTTTCTGAATCCGCTTCAACAGTTCCTCCAGCATTGTTTTCAGGACCAGAATCCGGAGTGGATGAGTCCTTTCCGCAGTTGGAGTCTGCTGCCAAGTCTGCGTCTGGGCCATCATGCTGGGAAGAACTGAGCCTGGTCCCACGCTCAAAAAAACGCAGAAGTCCGTCTCCATGGCCAGGCACTGAAGTGTGTCTTCGTGTCGAAGGACGAGGCGGGTCAACGCATTCAGGAGTGTTCTTGAATCTGGTGTGGACTCGTCCTTGATGTTCTGGGTCTTCCCCTGCCCTTTTTTTCCTTTTCCTTTTCCCTGGCCCTTCACGCCATTCGACATGGAAGACCTCGGGCGTTTTGCCGTCTGCTTGTCCTCGTCCACCTCCATCTTCACCCACTGGTTCAGGGCCCCCCACATCTCTGAGATCTGGTTGCCCTCCATGTCCATGATGAAGTATGGCGAGAAGGCTGGCTAGCTGCAGGAGCACTGGGCACTGTACTGCGGTTTGATGACAGTTGCAAACTGAACACTGTTGCTGCCTTTTTTGATAGAAGGACAGAAACTTGTAAAACAGCCCCCCACGGTTTCCATGTTTGGCATGGTTGTTCCAAAGATGTTGAAGCATGTCCCTGGGGTCAATCTGCCGTCCACATAAGCAGCACCAAGTACTAAGGGCTGTGCAGAGTGTGCCATCTCCAAGAAGTTCGTCAAATACGCCCGTAGCAAGAAGGCTGTCCAGGTGTGGAAAATTCATGGCAATGGTGGGGCTGAGAACTTGTAAGTCCAGCTTCAGTGCATGTGCCAAGATGAGCTCATCGCTGGCATCCTTCAGTTTGTGCAGGTCATGGTGGACAAAGAGGGCTAGTTGAGTAAAGACCGTGCAAACATGTGGAGTCGTCGGAGGCCGAAGACAGGAGCAGCCAAGGTTCCTCAGAGCGCTGTCGGTTTGAAGCCATTCAGCATATGTGGTTGCCATAGTCCATGATGTGGAGTGAGCCGAACTGAGATGCTTCAAAAGAGAGGATGAGCTGGATGATTGATGGCCACAAAGGCCACAAATGTAGCCCAGGTAAGCAAGTAAATGGTCAAATGTGCCCCCATGAAGCCCAGAGATGACCACTGGATGGTGCCAAAGAAGCGATGGAGCATCCGGTAGTGGTTCAGGACATTGACCTCCATCAATGTGATGCCTAAGTGCTGCAAGACAAAGGAAGGAGGCCTCGCAGTGTGCACATTGCGTCAGCCCAGGAACTTGATCCCTGGAAGCAAGGAAGGTCCTGGTCAGCGTAGAGTGAGCATGCTCCATGGATTGATGTTGATGAAGTCCTGCGGCAGTCACGAATTTCCTGGGACATTGAGCGCAAGCAAATTGAGCATCCATCCTCTGCGGAGGTTGTGGGATCGGTGGTGGACATGCCGGAAATTGTGCATGGTGTTTCCGGTATGCCAAAGCAAGGCCCAGCTGTTTCTTCACAGGACATGTATGCGTTTTCGATCGAAAGTCCTGCCCACACAATTCACATGGTGAGTTGGTCCGGGCCCTGATCACATTTGGCAGAACCTCCCCCATCAGCGCATAGACATCTCCATGATCTCGACCCATGTGTGCAGACATTTGCTGCAGTCTCGAAGACCAAAAGCCACAAAGAATGCACCGTTGGGTCAGAAAATAGCAAAGTCCTCGATCATTGGCCAGAGGGGCCAGGTCGCCATCGTCGAAGTACTCCAGGAGTTTTTGCCGGTGTTGTTGAAGAACTTCTGGTGGTGCCTTGGTCGAGTCAAATTCAGAGCAGGAGAGAGTGTGAATGTGGTGTCGAAGGTTTTGCCAGCTAATGAAAGTTTCGCCACAGTGCCGACAGGTAGGTTTCCCATCAACCGCATCCCTAGCTATATCCAGCTTGGGTCCCTCAGCATGTAGAATGCCGTGAACATGCAACTCGTGTCTTCTCAGTGTATATAGATGTTGAAAGGTCAGCCCACAGTGCGGACAATCAAGTCCTGCCTCCGCCAGGGGGAGCTTGGGTTGCAGATCCAGTTCTCCAAGGTCCTGGAGCCAAGAGTCTGTGAGATGAATAGAGCTTTGAAGTGTGCTGAGGTCAAGAAGGTGGAGTATGTCATGCTCTTGAAGTGAGGAGAGTCTGTCCTCATGTCGCTTCAATTGAGAGGCCATCCGCTCCCTCAGGGAGAGCACCGGGTGGCGGAGTTGGTGCTCTGTCAAGAAGTCCATGTGAGTGGTATGTGTCATGTAGGAACGGTCTCCTGCGGCCTGTCGAAGCATGGACGTCATGTTCTTGGAGAACAAGGGAATGGAGGTGTGATCGGTTCCAGTTGCATCCAGTCCATACACTCCTATTGGGAAAATGCATGTTTGCCATAGAGCCACCTTCTGAGCCGAGTGCATGCCATTTTTCGAAAACCACTTCTGCATTTGTCTGAAACGAACTTTGCATGCTTGAAGCCGAGCTTTCATGGTGTCCCTTTGAAAATTGTTGTATCCCATCTGAACTCCCAAGTATTCGTGCTTCTCTTTGATCGGTATTTCGTGTGAGCCCCCGTCTGCTTGTGGAATACAAAGTGCTGAGTGATCAAGCTTCTTTTTCACAAATTGCTGCCTGGCTTGTTTCTGTTGTTTGCCTCCCCATCGTAAGATGACGGCGGATTTCTTCATATTCACGGTCATGCCCAGCCGTTCAAGGACAGAAATAACGGTGCCAAAATGTTGAAGGCCTTGTTGAAGTTCTGCCATGGTCTGAAAAACAAAGCAGGCATGACCGTCATCTGCATAGAAGGTGCAGCATTCACGCATCCAA